CCAGATTCTCAATGTCTGTCAACGGCCGTTGAGTGACTGCTCAAATCTGACTGGCGTCTTCTGTTCGTCCTTTTCAAAAAAGAGCTCATTGCAAAACAGTTTGCCATTGATTTGTGTGTGGTGTGTTTTTCGGGTATGTGTGGTGTGTGTGGAGTGTGTGGTGTACGGTGTGTGGTGTGCGACGGCCCATTTCGCTTGATTGCCCATTTCGGGCAGCGCCAAACGCTTTCAGAGGCATTAAAAAACACACACTCGCGGAGAAATGCTCGGAATGCCTCGTTTTTTAAGTCAATATCGAACGGGGGCAATCAGGCAAACTGCCACGCCCCAGAAAAACACCTACGATCGCGGACAGGCAATTAGCTCCAAATATGTCAGACTTCAAATTATTAAATTATACTTACTTTACATTGTTAGTACTTTACTTTAAAGTACATACAAAATAGTGATATATTATATTAATATTACTATTAATAATAATATTAATAATAATAATAATTAATAATTAATAATAATATTTAAAGTACATATTTAGATAACAAATCACCTCAAGCTATTTTTTATTTCTAGTCACAACATCAGTACTAAGAAATATAGCTGAACTAGAAATAATATTTCGCAGTACTTTTTTATAAATAGTATTAATAAGCAGACACTCCTATTTTTCCGACCCAAACTGTGCATATGCATGTCTATATCATTATCGACAGAGAAGTCATCACCATTGCCATATCACCATCATTATCATCCTAGTCATAATCATCGTCGTCGTCGTCGTCGTCGTAGTCGAGCATAAAACGCGGCGGCATAAAGTTTGCCAAGTCTTCAACAGTTTTCAGCACACTTCCCCCTTCGGCCGATTTCCCTCACTTCTCCCTCAGTTTTCCCCACTTTCCCTCCCCGCTTTCCCACTTCCACGCCCATTTCAGCGATTTCCGAACTCCGTGCTCCACGCTAATAAAAACATTAACGTTGCCCCCACATGTGATGAGAGGCTGTGGAGCCGGGGTGCCAACTTTAGTCATAAATAAATATTTTCTTGGCTAACATTTTGAGCTGATTTCGGGGGACGCCTTTAAGGCTAAGACTTTTGGCCAAAAACGCGACGCGTGCCAATTTGTTAATAGACGAAAGTTACTTGGCTGTAATTTGAAACTGTTTGCATTCCCCCTTTTTGTGTTTTGTGTTTTGTGGGTCCAAGTCCACTGGTCCGTTTGTGTAACTTTTGAAATGTTCGCAAGATAACAAAGCAAAAGTTTTGGCGAGAAACAACTCTCCAGCTTCTACACTGAAAAATTATTTAAATACAAGGAATGTTTACAAAACAGGATTTGTTTATAGCCCACACCACTTTTTATTAAATTAAATCCGATATAAATATTGAATGGGTTGGTTTTATTTAAAGGCGTTAAATTATCATTGAATAATGTTAGGAAAGTGTTTTTTGCGCCCTAAGAAAACATGCCAAAGAAGTCAAGTCAAATATTTGGAAATAGTGTTTATTTGTTAGACGAAGTTTTCACACCCTCAGTCGACAATATTTTCTGTTTGAATTTTTTTCTCTGCCTTGAGTTTTCCCATCTGAAACTGACAGATTGAGAGACTGACTAACTGAGTGGGTCATGGGCTGATTGCTTGATTGGCTGATTGACTTGCCAACGAGCCGCGACCTGCGGCTGGTGACCCACTTAATTGTTGGCCACTCGTAAAACTATTGGCCCCTCAGCGACTTGCAAGTTTGCCAGCAAACTACTCGAAATTCACGTCCCAGCAAGTGCGATAACCGATAACCAAGATGGCCAAAAGGAGAAAAGGGAGGGCCACAGGGCGAAAGGGTGAAGGATACTTGGCCAAGTCTGTTGTTTCAGCGGATACAATACACAATCTGGCCAAGGAGCGCTGCTGTTGATGTTGGACTTGGGTCAATGTTATTCGAGCTTGCTATCGAGCCACATTCATCGATTGATTCACCCAGAGAGTTGGAAACTATATTTAAGATAATATGCAGTGAAGGAGCAAGGGGGAAAATGGTCCATCTTACTCGGCATTAGAAGACGTCCCGGAACTCCAAACAAATAGAAAACATTTCCTCCTGGTAAATGTCTATGTATATTCGACTTTAATAATATGTTTAGTTCTTAACTATGGTAAGTTCAAATTATTTATTTAGGGATCGATTTTCTGTTATTTGATTTAAAATTATCAAAAACGGCTTTGCAGAAAAGTGACCTAAAACCTAAACTTCTAAGCCCATAACTTATCTTCCAGACATCCGATTTCAATGTGGCATACATCTAAATGATTGTTGTTTCAATGTCTAAAACTCTGTGTCTTCAACTTAATTCGTATTTTTGGGTCCATTTTTCGTAATTTTAACGATGTTACCCCTTTCCAAATTTTCGAAAAATGGGTTTGCAGAAAAGTGCCTAAAGTCAGCACTTCTAAGCTCATAACTTTTCTTACAGACATCCGATTTTAAATTGACATACCTCAAAGTCATTGTAGTTTAATTCTCTAAAAATCTGTGTTTTCACTTTAGTTTTTTTTTTTTGGGTCGATTTTTCGTCATTTTAATGATGTTACCCCTTTCCAAATTTTCGAAAAACGGCTGTGCAGAAAATAACTTATCTGCCAAACATCCGATTTCAAAGTGGCATACATCTAAATGATTGTTGTTTAAATATCTAAAACTCTGTGTTTTCAACTCAATTTGTATGTTTGGGTCCATTTTTCGTAATTTTAATTTCCAAATTTTCGAAAAACGGCTATGCAGAAAAGTGGACTAAAACCTACACTTTTCTTACAGACATCCGATTTCAAAGTGGCATTTAGACGAGTGTGGTTAAATGTGGTTGAGTCCATTTTTCATAATGTTTATGAAACCCCTTTCCAAAGGGCGCATATCAGTTCCCACAGTCCCATTAAGCACATTTTTTAATTAAATTAAGAACTTAAGCAACAGTTCCTTAATTTCAAAACATGTATTTCGAATCAGTTAAATTAAATTCATCGCCCCCAAGAGTTAGGCCCATTTCACTCAATTTGCTGCAAAAGGACCTTCGCTCTTAATCCTTGTAGCTGTAGGACTTCTGGCTGGCTAAATCACCGGAATCTCGGGCGTTTATCGATGCAACTAACTTGCTTAGCCAACTTAAAATGTACCCAAGAAATTAAGGGCCCTCGGGCAAATTGTATCTGCATAAGTGCCGGCATCATCCAATCCTAGAAAAGTGGAAGTCTTGAAAGGGAGAAAGGCAGGCATGGCATGTTGCATGCCTCAGTGAGCAATAAGTTCGACAAACTCATTTCATTAAGCTCGGCGCTGCATAAAAAAAAAATATGGGTGGAAAGAGCTAATGCGCTGCCCCAAAACCCCATTTTCCGGCAGCTTTTCCGACTTTTCCGCCTGTCTCTCCGTCGCCGTCGCCGTCTTCGATGTCTCATCATTTATTGGCAAGCGCTTTTCAACGGATTGGCATCGCTCCGCATGCATCGCTTAAAGTGGATAACAGGGAAGGATATGGTTGCCACCGGGGAGGGGGGTGCGGAGTGCGGGGACCTGGTACCGGGATCGGGTGATCCTTAAAACCAGAGGCAGCCCGTCTGTTGCTATTTATTGCCAGCTCGCAGCGTCGCACTCGAAAGCCATCAATTTTTTATTAGATTATATAAAATTTACCAACGATTTATCTATGCCCAGCGCCGCTAGCATGTCACCATCTAACCCAATCAGTTTTCCCCCCCATTTTCCGTTTTCCCCACCCATTTCCCATTTCCCAGCCCCCTTTTAAGGTCCCTTGTCGCCGCCTGTTCATCCGATTGCAGCAATCGGAAATCTGACGACAACGACAACAGGATGTATTGGTTGCATTTAATGCAACTAATTTAATGAACAAAGGGCGGCAAAAGGAGAAGGGGTTTATGGTATATCGTAATAATCGTGCTTTTATTATCGCTGGATGTCGGTGAAATACATGGGTTAAATGCTATGGCAGCAATTAACTCTTAACAAATATGTTATCCTTAAATAATTGAGAATTCATTGGGCCACATAAAAGGCCTTTAATACCTCTTTTATAAAGATAATTCTGTTGCTTTAAACAAAAGTATCGTTCATACCTTTAAACTCTATTTACTTCCACACTATTAACTATACTGAATAGAACAATTTAATGCTTAAATTTATTTATTTTATTTTTGAAAAATTGTTCATAAAGCGAATTTATTTTGTATTAATATTTATATGCTCATTTTACTTTTTTGTAAAAACAATATACAAATTATTTGATAATTTGCACTTAATTAATTTTTTAATTATTAACACAAGAATTTGCAAGCTATTATAATACATATTATTGATACATTATTTATATTCTTAAAATGTTGTTTCGCAAGAACCATGACAAATTTTTAGTTTTTGTATTTCAATTAATTTAAAATTAGTTTTATTAATAGGTAGGTCTGCTAAGTATTAACACCTTCCTTTACCTTTAATACGTGTTCAGTGCTAAATTTCGAATTCAATCGTTTCCTATCGATACATTTATTGATTGCCATTTTCTTCCCTCATTTGCAATTGAATAAAATGGGAAAATTCTTAAGATTACCTTGATGTTGCTGTTGTTACTGTAACACTGCCCCGCCCACCGTTCGCCGCCCATTGCCACGCCCCCCGCTCAGCGATACAGTTACTTTGAGTTGTCTTGCTGCAAATACATTAAAATGCAGTTGAAGCTGCAATTGCTGGCAGGGCCACGCCCCCTTTTCTCACTTTCCCACGCCCACCTGTCAGTCTGTCTGTCAGTTTTCTGTTCTCGGCTCCTTTTTTTGCGCTGGCAGGCATTCATCAGCGTTATCCTGTCTCCTTATCCTGGCGCTCAACATGCAATATCTGCACTTTGCATTTCTTCGCTACTTGCGCGCAGGAATTAACATTAGCTCAACCAAAATGAAAGCCAGCTGGGAAATTGATTTGCTCTCGTTTTGCTCCATCTTTGCAGGTTAACGGGCATCTTTAATCACCTGGCACTCTCTTATGGGTAAGTCCTGAAAATATAAGGATATAAAAAATATAATTATTAGTATTCTGAACTGTACCTATCAGAATTTATTTATCTTAAATCTCTGTATGGTTATGTTCCAATGGATAGCTGTTCTTTACTACTAAAGATATAGGCGATTTTTATTCTTAAAATAAATTTACTACGCTTAAATATTTGATATTTTATATTTTAATATATATTTTATTTTTTACAATTAACTATTGTTTCTCAAGAATAAATCTAACGAGCTTAAGCTATGAATATGTTAGTTCTTTGAACAAATTCATTTCAAAATGGTGCCAAAATAATATTTAATATTTTTATTTCTGTTAAATTTTTGTATAGCAAATTATTGTAAATTAAAAGTGTATTTTAGGGAAATAAGCAATTGGTATATACATTTTTTGATTTAAATTATTTTGATTACAAACATTTTGAAAGCAAAACCGCAGCACTTAATTAAATGATTTTTGATACTCTTTCCCCATTTAAATCTAGAGCTCCCCTCAATACAGCACCGAAAATGGTACATCTTAAACTTATTTTTGTTTGGCTGCTCGCGATGTAATTGAAAACTGCCGCTGGCCCCCAAAAACCTCCGACTAAACCTCTCTATTTAATGGGTCGACATTAGTCCTCCTGCTGTCCCGTGATCCACTCCTTTGGATCCTTTGACTTCGGCTTAATACCGCTGTCGTTAAATGCGCCAAACGGGCGAAAAGAAATTGCCACTAAATGTTATTGAAATCGAATACGTTGCCATCCCCCTCCCCCTCACCCCTTCGGCGGTGGGCGGTGGCACGCCCCCTTGTCACTTGCCATTGGCCTCGGTGCGTTGCGGTTGCTTTTAATATCCTTAATGTCCTTGTATCTGCGAGACGGTGAGCTTGTGTTCCCCTCTTTTCTGGTTTTTCCCGGAGCTGTTCGCTGGAGCATCCTGCAGTGTTTATCCTTTTTAATCAGAAATTGATGCGCTGCCTTTTTCACAGCCATCGAAGGCGAGACAGAGGACTTCAGACAAAGATATAGATACGGATTCGGATACGGTTACAGATACGAATGCGAATACGCATTCGGATACAAAGGACAACGGACTGCGGATACGTGCCCTTTTCGCAGTTTTCGTCGACATCGCTTTGACTTATTGCCCGCAACTAATTCCTAATTACAATTTCAATTAAATATTTATTTTAATTAAAAAGCCAACTTCAAAAACACATCTCATCCGTATCCGTTGTTTTGCAATCGTTGGTGTACTGCGCGAAAAAAATGTATGTTTTTTTAATATTCGTTAATATTATTTTAAATTTATTAGCAACTTTGTTTCTTGTGAGTAAAATTCCTGTTAATGGGAAAAAAAACATATCAACCACAGATGCGTAATTCTTTTAACTATTTCACTTAAGATAAAGTGGTAATTTGGGAACATTTAAAATAATTTCAAAGTTTCTAAGCTTTTCAAAAACTCAAAATCTTAAAAAGATACTTAAAATTGTATTATAAAAGAAGGTCAATGATATAAATTAACACATGTGATTATTTGTAATACATTTTATTTTGAAATTTGATTTTATTTTATTTTAAAAAATTTGTCTGTGTGTGGAGATGAGATTTATCTTAATATTTTTTATTATTTGCTTTTTTCCCGCCGTGTAGGGCCCCGAGTGAGGCAGCAATGCGGATCTGGTGGTTACCTCGAAGTCCTCCGGGCCGTCGAACCGCCGGAGCACCGCCCCCCGCCCCCTGTCCCCTGCCCCCCGCCCTTCTTCATTAAATTTCATGAATCGCCCGCAGCGCTCAGCCATATCCTGTGCATGTTGTTGATGGCTCTGCCCACAAACTGCCGTGGGGGGTCACGGGTATATCATCTGCCATTGTTGTCTGCTCAAACATAACTCTCCTCGGCCAGAGCCAGAGCCAAAGCCAATGCCACACACGCCCGTATCCGTATCTTGACCATCCTATAGCCCCCCAACCACCCAACCACCCAAACCACCCAAACCAACCAAGCCAGCCAGAAAACCCAACGAACCACCCTCTGTTGTTTCAGCGAAAGCCACAAAAACTGTTGGCGCTTTTATTTATTTGCTATTGATTTCCACTGTCCCAGGACGCAATTTGTTTGCAATAAACTTCATAACAATAATTCATGTCCGCACAAATAAATAATTCATGGAGCCCGTTCCGAAAACGAAAGGCCACAGCCACTAAGATTTGCGGGGCTTTGATAGATAATTTCTTGGCCACCCCGCAGCGCCCCCCTTTTCGTCCCTAATTGCGGGGGTGGGCTGGGTCCTTGGTCCTTGGTCCTTCCAAGGACACCACAAGTTAATAAATCCAGCACTCGCAATGATAATAAAAAGTCGGCGTTAAATTAAAAGGTGTTTCAGCGCATCCAAGCATGTAAGCGAGTTCTGATTCAATACGTTCTATCAGGAGTTGCTATTAACTGAGGATGAGAACGGGGCAAATGAATGATGATCCAATGAATGATTCAGTAGGTTGCTTAGCAGCAGTGAAAAACAGTATACGACTGGAAGGAGGGAAAGTCAGCTAAAAGGAAAGTAACAGTGGCTAATACATATCTGTAATTAGGTGGATAGTAACACCGCTGCAACATAGTAGTTCTGGCAAGGCCTGATAGTAAATATAATATTTTCGACCATAAAATTATACTTTCATATATAAATACTTAAATTGATATTTGGGAATATATAGATCTTCAGTCTTTAATCATTTGTTTAACTTTATTTAATGCAAGGTAACTTTACTGAGGCACTAAAACTAAAGAACATCATATAAAATTATATATTATATATTGACATTTTTGTAACCCTTAAAAAAAGGGTTTAAAATAAATATTAGAATATATTCTTTTTTTGTCACATTCTCAAAATGCTATCCAAAATTTAAGGATACTAATTTTTTGGTATTTGTATTTTTCTTGATGTAGACTCAGCAATAGACATGAAATATGCTTTATAGATTAAAGTCAACAAATAAACAGGAAGTTAACTCTACTCAGGGATATACTTACCTACCCCACTGTACTGCATTAGAGCCCACTCGAATGCTTTTGAGTGCTCGCATATGATATCGCCAAGCAATCGAAAAGCAAAAGCGATAAACGAACCGGATCACAAAAAATACGAGTGCGCCCTTCGCATTTCCCTTAACATTTTCGCATCCGCATTTACGTTCGCATTCGAATTTCGATTCGTTGGGGTATGGATTACCAATTAGCATTTCCATTGGCGTGGCCAACCCACGCCCATTACCTCGTTTTGTGTGCGAATTGCGGTGGCGAATCGCCGGCAAATGTGGAGTGCTTTTGGGGACATGGGAAATTGAATTTCCCATTATCGTTTAAATGAAAATTCATGCCAGCGGCGACAATCGAAAGCTGCAACATTTTACTTTCCACTCTCGCTTAGCTGATTAAATGCAGGCCACGCGGCGTATGGGCAATGTGCCCCACCCACCACATTCCTCATACGCCACGTGTGACGCCTTGATTTCTCGCCATAAAGCACAAAACACAGTGTGTGTGAGTGTGCGATGCGGTGGGGTCAGTGGGAATTGCGTTTCAGCAGGCCGGACAAACTCAGACAAATATAATAAAAATCAAGGGAAAATAAAATATTTACACATGCATACAAATAAACACAAATAAAATATGGCCCACGACGATGGCCGAGAAGGAAAATGCGAACGAATCTCCAGCGACAGCGACATTGGCAAGAAGGGCAATTGAGAAAATGAATTTACTGTGTACGAAATGGTTAAGTAAAAGTTTGTGTATCGAAGCCAACAGAGGAAAGACAGACAAAGTGGCTGAAAGTCGAACAGAAACAGTGGGTTAGGCGAAGAAAATATTGCAGGAAACATTAAAATAATAAAGAAATCTGTGTTTACTGACAAATACCTCTTTAATTTGTAAATTTACCTTCCTTGTATTCTGATTTTCTTTTACTTGTCTTGTTTATTTTACAGCATTCTGAATTTTATTCTAAAATGGAATTAAATAATTTTTGTTTACCAATTATTTGTACACTCTTGATTTGTCATTCACACATCACTTCAATATTTAACAACATTTAACGTCAAACTGTAATTAAACTATGGGTCAATAAAATTTATAAGGTTTCCTTTCTAGTTACTATAATTTAATATTTGTATATTTATCACCTAAAATAAATAGAATAAATATAAAGAAAAGAGGAAGAAGAGTTTCATCCAAAAAGCTCTTAAACTAAGAGACTTGTTTGCGTCCAAACGGACATAAATCGATTTTCCTGGTGCTGTTGATCAAGAATATATATACCATATAGGGTCGGAGATATTGCCTTCACTGCGATGCAAGCTTTTGACTGATATTAAGATACCCTCTAAAGTAAAAAAAATAATAAAACATATTAAAACTTATATAATATAAGACTTTAAAATTAAAAACTTCATTAATAAATCGTTGTAAGGTGTATTTTACACTTGTTGTTTCTTTTGTTATATTTTGATCATAAATTATTTCAATAAGACCAGAACAAACAACTTTTTACCATATTAACATATTTCAAACAAATAATTGTTTACAACTAATTGTTTGATCCTTGCTTTTGTTTTCAAGGCTTAAAAGAAGTTGTTGTCAGTTGTACGAGCATTCATAAAATATACCATAGTTATGCTTTCAATTTCCCAAAAGCCATATCCTGTAAAACTAAGTTTTGGAAATTTGTGACCATTTCTTTCCATTCCAAGTGCTGAGATACCAAGACTTTCTTAAAGGGACACATTTTAGTTCCCCGGGCATTTAAAGCTCACACACCTTTGTACTTTGCTCCACCGTACAGCCAAAGTGCTTGTCCCAATTTCGGGACTTGGCCGTCGTCCTAGCTGTGTTCCCGTTCCGGGATCCCGGATCCCGGATCCCAACGAAGTCCTTTTTGGCCAGCGAGTGTGTCCCTTTGGCCGGGTTTGTTTAACTGTTTGCCGATGCTGGA